CTTCTGTGTTTTTCTTAATTTTGAAAATATCTGTAATTTTCGCAAATAAAGGAAAATCATCTTAATATCTACTAAAATAATCGAGCCTCTTTTAAACATTACATTTCCAAAATTAATATTTTTCAATACAGTGTAATTTGCATGAATAGTTCTTAGTATCGCTTTTTTAAAAGGAACTAATGAGTTACTTTGTATGTTATATATGGTAAATTATTAAATTGCAAATTCATAAATGAATTACTTAGCATTACTTGTTGCTTGACTGCAATACTACAGCATATTTACTCTACTACTACTTGAATGAGCGTATTGCTTTAAAGGATGTTTAGCTTCAAATCTCATTGACCACAGAGAACGGAGCGGTCCAACAGTTTTCATAATTCGAGGATAATGTAACATTAAGTGATGTTTAAGTTTTAAGGTTTTCCCAAATAATTCAATATATTGTATATGATGCTCATTAATCAAGTTTTCTAGTAGATCTGCTGTTGATTCAGTAACACTGTATTAAATAATAAAAAGAATTTTTTGTAGCAATATAAAGTTTCCAGTATTTATCATTAGAATTAGTTATAAGATCATCGAATATTAAACCAGCATTTAACATAAAACTTATCATTTCAGAAGCAGACATTTTAATAGATTTTTTAAGCAACTGTGATTCTGAAATTGCAGGAGGACATTGAATCAAAATAAAAAAATCCTAAACGCCAATTCAAAGTATCTAAAGTAAAATAATGTTGTTGTATGATAGAGTAATATAAAATATAACTTATTTCATATAAACATACGCCTTCTAATAAATCGTGCATAATGTCAACGCTATAATTTTCAACTGTCTGAAAATGTTTTAAAATTAAACATTAAACGTACAACTTTCTTTTATACCTGTGATAGATACGTTCTTAATTGTTACGTCTTCTGAATAATTTATTTTATCACGTAATGCACTAACATCTTCACTACACAATTGGCAAGATATATTCTTCGATATTTTACAAAATCGACAACATTTATTTGCAGAGAAACTTTCGACGAATCCTAAAATATCATGTAATCTCAAATTATCACCGATAATTAATACAAGTTGAAAATATACTTGAATATTTTTAGATTCTTTTCATAATTTAATGCCTTCTGTTTCTAGATTAAATCTTTAATTAAGTATGAATAAATTTTTGAAAATAACTTCGAATCATCTGCATGGTATAATTGGGCAAGAAAAATATTATCCAATCTTGAATCTAATTCTGGTGGTAAGCACGGTATTGAGTAGTGAAGGCTAAACCTCGATAGTAGAACCATCGATAGTTTTCGATACAATAGTAAAAATTATCGATAGTCATTGATAGTGAAAAAAAACATCGATACTATCAATATTATCGATAGTTTTAATAAAAAATAATACTTTTAATAAATTGAATTCTTGGACTAAATATTTTAAAATATAAATAGTTTAAAACGTGTTTTTTAAATGTAATACATTTAATGCTCATATAACAAACTCTTGTTATCA